GGGTCTCAGGAAGCTTGGGTTCCATTTTTAAACTTGCAAATTCACATTTAATTTTTAGTCTGGGCCTGTAAAATAGCCAGTACAGAGTGTAACCTTGAGAAATCTGCTAGAACTTCTGAAAATCTCCATTTGTAGTTTGATAGTCTGAATTCTCCTGTAGTACCCTGTTCTCTTTCCCCTGTACTACAAAATAAGCTGTAAGATTTGTAAAGTGGTTTCTAACACTCACTTTACAAATACAGTGACGTATTTTGTTCAGTGTCTGCCCCAGCAAGTCTGATGTCAGTGGTTCGAACTACAGCATCTAGCAAAAGGACACTGCACTTGAAGTTGCTATGGCATCAAGTTATGTCTGCGTAAGGCTAACAGCATTGCTCGCTCTGTGCATCTGGATAGTTCTGTTCAGATTCTTACCAGAGAAAGAGTAACAACAAAGATGATACAACAAGGACCCTCCTGCATGAAATCTTACCACCCCCCCACCCCACCCCCCCCCGTGCAAGTAACTGCAATAGATTAGAAAGCAATTCGGGTATCTTGATTCCCGGCTATAGGAACAAGTATTCCAACTCTCTCCTTTAATAACTATTTCCTTTCCAAATGGAGCAGATTATATTAGAATAGTCTGCCCTCCAAAAAGACCTTGATGTTTAACCACTGCTGATGTTACATCCTTCCCTGTTGTGCTGCATCTTCTTGCCAGGAACCAGTTTCCAGACATCTCAGCTCCTTCTGTCTTTGGTACAGGCTTCTGCTTTTGGTGATAATCTACTGTTTATCTGGTGTTGGCATGGATCTGCCAAATTTCCAGACAACTGCCAATGTCTGCAAATCCTGGACAAGTGGTTCTTCTGCCTCCACAGAGCAAATGGAGTTATGTGTGCTGTGACACCAAGTGTGATGTAGAATTTTGTTCCTGTTCTTTGTTATTTTCATGACAGCTGCATCTCCTATCCCTTTTTTTGCATCTATTATATACAAATAATATTATGGATTTTTGAAAACATTAATTCTGATTTTCTTTGATTTACCTCTGATGTTTATTTTTGTTGATGATGGGGAAGTCATCAATTACTTTATACTAAAGGTATCCAAATAACCAGTATTTTGAAAAATGCTCTTGTAATCACTACCGATATTTTTACAAGTGACAGAAATGCTTTACTGGTATGTAGTACCTCTTTCCATGCTCAGGTAGAAGATTTTTTACTTCCAGATTAATGGTGGTGTAAAGCAGAAACACAGTGAGTGTGAATAAACATAAAAGTATTTGCATCTTAGTAATTTCAGAGTGATTTTGAAGAGCTGTTTTCCTTCTGCAACAGATTCATTATATATTTGTCAGTACTAGTGAATAGAAACCAACTTACCCTGCTTGTCATATCAACTGATCAGAGAAAGGAAATAATATCATATGAGCTGCAGTAGTCAATCAATTATATGGAACAAATATGACTTAGTAATGGTAGGAGTATATTAACAGTGTACTGAATGTTCACTAGCACTGGCTGAAATACAGCTGCGTTATTACCTGGACAAACAGAAAAACTGCACTGTAAATTCATCCCATGTCTTCCAATGAGAAGACTGAGTAGGTCAGTCAAGTAGCTAGTTTGCTATGAAGAGTTAACACAAACAGTTCCTTTTTTTTTAATGATAGTAACCTCATTTCAGTACTCTTCTAAAGCAAGACTCCAGTAACACATCAGAAATTTTATACATGAGCAGGAAATGTAAAAAAGAAAGCCAATGAAAGTAAAGCTACTTCAGATGCTTTTGAATGTAAAAATATATCTAAGTTTGAGAAATTCCATACACTCAGCAAGCAAACACGGAAAGGATCATATAACTTCCTGCTGTCCTTTCTCAGACTGATAGCTTAATGTTTATTCACAGTGCTTTATATATCATACATTATTCATCAGATTATAAGAAGTTCTCATCTTTGTTTTTTATGTTACAGTTTATTATGTAGCAGTTATGGCAGGGTAATCAAGTCTTGTTTTTTTTCTTTAAGAACTGGTGGTTCAATCTTCCATTCTCATGCATCTTAGAGAGTACTAAATTAATTAAAAAGATAATTGAAATTCCCCAACTGAAACATCACAGCAGTTTTCTCAGAACACCGTATCTATCTCCTGTAAATGTTCCAGATCGAGTTGCCAGAAAGTTCATTTCATTAGAAAACCAAAATAGCAACAATCAGTGAGAGTAAGCGGAGGAGCCTCACAGTTTGCAGAAACTGAAAAATCCAGAGGCTTGAACTAGCCAGAAAGTCTTTTTTAAAGAAAGCAGCCAGTTTTCTAAAGCACATTTGCTTTTGTAATGCATGACATGTGTAGAATTTACCACATGTGGACCATGCAGAGTTTTATAATAATTTCTGTTTTACTGAGTTTCAGGGAAAGAAAGTGGTTTTAGCTAATAGGGACCAACCTTGGCTTTGAGGCAAGTCACCTTTTCACAAGATCCAAAGTCTCTCATAGGCAAATAATAACATTCAATACTCTTTCACTTGCATATAATTTTTCTTCCCTAAATATAATATTTTGCTTTGCAAATATGCCAGTAAACTTTACCAACACTCTTCAAGGTAGGCATGCCCTCTGTAGCAGTTGATTTTTGTCCTCTACTTCCAGGAGTTAGGGATCATTAAGACGAAACGATCTATCATTGTGGACTTACCAGTTGCCAGTGATGTTTGGCAGAGCTGGGGCAGGGAAGGGGTGATACCCTCTCCTCTGCAGGGTAGAACAGCCATTTCTAGGGTGGAACAATGCAGCTGTTCAAAAGCTACCAGCAACTACCAACAACTGTACAGGTGCAACAAAATCACCAGTTCACAGCAGGGAATAGAGTAATATTTGATCTAAATGAATTTGCAGATGAATTCAGACAGACGGAATATAAGTTTATGAACTGTTACACTCCTTCTCGTCTAAAAATATTTGGGAATCTAATGAGCACAAAGTGTCAGGACCAGTTTGTGTAAGGTATGCTGAAAGCAGCCTGAGAGGTCGAACAGCCTTTACCATCACTGTGGAGTGGGAGGTCCATACTTAGCAGGAGGGAAAAGGGAGATTCATTTGCATGATCTGTGTGCTCAGCAATCCCTAATTGCATCCCAGTTGCCCCTCTGGCTGGCCAGGCTCCATGTTGGTTCTGGGTACTCTGACTCACCACCTGCTCAATTAGTGTCTGATCTGGCAAAAACACCCAAAATGGTGAGGAATTAATTCTTGGTTTATTGTGGCCCCATGCCTGGGCTGAAACAGGACTAGGTGATAGTGGGTAGTCACTATAGGAAGTATCTATTAACACAGTTACTTAAGAGAAACTATATATAGCAAAGAATGTATGCCCAGGATTTTAACATTATTTTCCCTGAGTAACAGCAGCTACATGAGTCTAATATCCTGAAAACCCTTTGTTCTCTACATTTTCATGTTATATAGGGCGGTGTTTAAGGGGTGTATTCCAATAACATTTTCTAATTGCCATTGAGATTGTTTAATCAAAAGATCAGTATTCACTTCTCTTGTGTCCTTATTTATGTTTCTATTGTGCTTAGGTTTTTTATATTAGAAATGTAACGGAGTCACTGATTAATTTCTTCTTACAGTAGTGGTCAGTTTCTTGAAATACTACATCTTTCCTTTTTCTACATGTGGCATTTTTTATCCTGACCTCATGGTCACTCTGCACAGTTATTTTTCAGAAAAACATAATCCCCTCAAAATTTGCTTCTTTTTTACCAAAGTCTTTGCTTTCATTTTAAACAAATACAACCTTTGTAAATATTAATTTCCATTTTGCTTGTAAAGTGCTTTACACTAAGCCATGAACTGTTTTCCATAGATCTTAACTATACAGTAGACAAAACATTAAAGAAGATATTAGTGATTATATGTAAGCAAGACAAAAAGAAAGTCATCTGTTTATGTAAACAGCTTTTAAGACCCTTCTGATGTTGTTCAGAAACAAACCTGTTGCTTTGTCTGCAGAACATACAAATTAAATTAAAAGCAGAAAAAGTTTCAACAAAAAAAACCTTTTCAAATGTAGAATCTTTGGGGGTTTATGAACTATTCCTTGTGATGAAATAGACTTTTCTTTAAAGGACATACCTAATGTTTTCCACATCCTACTCTAGAGAATGGTTTAGAATGTACTGTGATTTTTTTAAAAATCATATAGCACTGAACTGAAGATACTTGTCACAGCTAAGTGTTAACACAATCAATGTGAACTGCTAAAAAGCTGTACTGTAACTATCATCGTGAGAAATACATGCCCGTAGCTCAAATGCATCAGTGTCGTTCTGATTCTCCCTGGCAGCTTGTGGTAAGGTTGTATTTTAAGGACATCCTCTAAATGAAAAGGTTAAGTTAGGATTTAGGTTTCCCGGGACCACACATCGTCTTAATGCAATGTGCTACAAGATAGAGACATGGAGTCTTGCACAGTTTGTCCCTGAGGGGCTTTTATAGAGCTCCAGTAGTAACTTCAGGGAACAGATCAATCCCAAGTGATTAAAATATTTTTTTAAAAAATAATATTGGTCTCTGAAAGACTTGAGTTAGCCTTCGACAGAGCCTGTATTGGTTTTGTATCCAATAATCTCCCAAACTGATGGATGACTATGTGGGGTTTTTTTGTTTCAGAATAGAAAAAATTCCAATCAGAACTTTAAAAGTGAGATTTTAGAGACAGGGGATTTGCTATTTTTTAATAGATATGAAAAAGCATGTAGATTTAGACAAATTCTTCTATTTATTTTAATCTACAAGATCTTAATTTCTGATGATGATAGAGGAGAAACCAGTCCGATTCTCCAATTTTCTGATACAGTTTAATTAAAATGAAGTGACAATCCTTCATAGCAATCCTGCATTCTCATTTTTATGAAATTACTTTCCAGACCAGGAATGCACTTAAATCTTTAATGATGTTTCCACATTTCTGAAACTGAAAACCTTAAATTACTTTTAATGTTATAGGTGGAAACTGTAGATATATGCTACTTGCAGCTTGAAAACATCTGGACAGTGACACACTGGTTGCCTTTTGTCTCAAGTGTTTCAGGCTAAACGACAATGGAAGCAAAGCTGCATCCTCAAAAACAGGCATCTTGATCCATTCCCAGAGCGGGCCTGAAACAGGGGAAGAACTGAAAATGCCAGAGCTTCTCCTCGCTATCTTTTGCTGATCTCATCTTTCAGTTTCACTAGAGCTGATTTCAGGCAGGAGAAATCTGATAGTAAGTATTCAGTGGCCCAAGTAAGTGCACAGTTCTTCAGTGCTGAATTATCCACAGCTGCTTACTGTTAATAGCCATGAGCTAGACACAACACGACTGGTGGGACAGTGACCCGCCTATCTCCACAACAAAATAGGGAATGTCCAAACTTAAAGCTGTTATTGTTCTCAGCAGCATGGTATTTTAAAAGAATTTTGCATAACTGACAGTAATTGTATGTGTCCATAAAACCAGCAAAAGACGTAGGGACAACGGGTGAAACTACAGCACTGCAGTGATGAAAGGCGTTGTTTTGCATCCTGCTTATGAAAGAGTGACCGATACTCTGCAGTCAAAACCACATGCAATTTAACTGATGCTTGTCACCTCGTGGACTAAATTTTCTGTTCTGATTAGACGGTTGTGACAGATTTGAAGGGTTTTAGATTTTCACTGACATACCCAACAGTATTGGTTCCGATAACATGTAGAAAGCCAGCTTCTGTTATTTGGTGGTGAATCCAGCTCTGGATAGCAAGAATGAAGACAAGTCAAGGCTTGTTCTTGCCCCCTTTGCATTGCTTGGTGAGGCTTCTTGCAAGTCTTTCATGTAAAGGATGCCCCTTCATTTTGACATCTGTTTCAAAGGCACTGGGATTTTTATTTTTTTTTTCAGATTTATTTTGTATAATGATGAATGCTTTTGACAATCTTGCCCGAGGTAGCCATTACTGAGATTTAGCACCATGTAAAATCGTTCACTACTTTATTAAGGTCAGAGAACAAATATACTCGAAGGATATGAAAGCCTATGAAGCCTGAATTCCAGATGCCGAGGAGTTACGGAGCGGTCTTTGAGTGACGACTTTTTTCTGGTTGCTAATCCTCTACCAACACATCTTTTCTCATGTTACTCCCATGTTTCTACTTTGTTAATTAGAAAAACATTGACACTACCCTGTAACCACAGCAGTATTTTTAAATGTACTTGAACAGTAACTAAAACCAGCGTATGCAAACAGGTGAAGTACCTGTATCGTATTTCACTCTAGATAGTCAAGTGGCATCATTTTACACATATACATAGCCGCGGATAAAACTGTGGTTTTAAAGCACACGTCGAGAAAAAGTATCCTATGTGTTTAAGACATTTCTATGCTTACAGAGGAATTTGACCCCTAATATAGAAGTAAAAAATGGACTGACGATCGGAGTTACAAGCTGCACGTCCTGTGCGTTTCGGCTTCTCGTCGATGTAATCCAGCCGCGCAGCCGCTGCTGCCAGCCTTTTCCCGAGCCCTTTCCCGTGCCGTACACCCCTTCCCGGACCGCTCGGCGCTCCCGGCCGCCGCGGCGGGCACGCAGCGACACCGTGGCCCTTCCCGCTCGCCTCAGGTTGCCGCGGCGGCGGATTTCCTGCGGGGCCG